AGCGAGCCCTGTATTACCACAAGCCCAGTGGTTTCAGCTAAAGATTTAAGATTGAAACCTGGGTTGAACTATTTTGGGGCAGGTGTAACTTAGTCACTTAGGTGTAACTTTGTGTAACTTGCTTTTAGGAGAAAAGAGATACAAGTGGAATACATACACACTACTTTTCAAAAGTTTGGAGTTAATTTACTTAAGCGAAAATACAGTAAAACAGTAATATGTGAAATATTACTTTTACTTTTAGTCATTTAGCAGACCCTTTTATCCAAAGCGACTTACAAATAAGAAAAAGTAATTAAAACTAAAAGCTAAAACTCTATAAATACTATATATACACACATTTAAGAAAATAAAAGAAATTAAATAAAAATGACAAATACATACAACATTTCAAAACTAAACAAAAAAGCGATACTTATCCTTTGCCGGTGTCCCTGCCCGGTGGAGTCTCACGATGGTAGAGTCGATGGTCTTTACACTCTTCGGTCGCACGGTAGAGTCGATGGTCTTTACACTCTTCGGTCGCACGGTAGAGTCGATGGTCTTTACACTCTTCGGTCTTCACACGTGGAGGCCGTCACGCGACGGCTGCCGTGGTAAACTAAGCTAACAAAATACTAAATTAATTCAGCTGGACACACTTTCCTTATTTTTTCCACAACAAATGGCCAAGCAAGCGCAGACACTGACAAGATACACGATACAGAACGAGACCAAACGAGATATATCACACAGTATACATTCAGAATGCTTGGACTATACGCCACGAGTTGCATAGGATTATTTTACGATTATTTTGCATAGGATTATTTTTTATATATATACACACATTCAAAATGACTACAAAATGTCATGCCTTTGAAAAATAAAGAAAACATCAGAATGCTCTGCTTTAGCGTGTCTCCTTGAACATCTTTCTGGTGCATGCCACAAACATGAACCAATTCAGTGAATACTTGACTCGTCTGCTTTTAAAAAGTCTACATTTAGATTATTTGAGTGATGTTAAATGCATTATTTAAGTCACTGTGGAATAAATTACAGCATGTTTTGTGAAAAAAAAAAAAAAAACATGACTTTTAAAC